GTTGTGCAAATAAAGCCTGAGATTGAAGGATGGGGGACTAAAGGCTCAGGCTGTAATTCCCAGGACTTTTTTTCCTTGCTGGGTGATTTCTGGCACACTATCTATGTTCTCTGAGCCTTAGCATCCTGAATTGTAACATAAGGAAAATTACAATGTCCGCAGTATTTAATGCTCAGATTTTTGAGGGTCAATTAAGAATTTGTAATATGTAAGCAGGCTATCACCAACCTTTCTCTGAGCTGCCTCAGCATCTTTAAATACTAGGAAGCCATTATCTATTAAAGGATCATTGGTACTGGGTCTTTGGACCTTATTATTCTACACCAGATGAAACCAGGGTATTGCTGGGGCATGGTGAACAAAGACCTGATATTCCTGTATTGAAGTTCCAGTATTTAAGTCTATCCCCCTCAGACCCTTTTCTCTTTGATTTTACAATACTAAATGGAGAGAACAGGAAAAAAATATCCTAAAATTATCAGTGATAATTTTTAAAGGAAACAAAACCACAATAGAGCAAAAAAGTTTATGGGCCTCCTTTCATGCACACACTGGCACAAATAATAAAAGCTTAAATTTATCTTCATAAGAAGAGATGAAAAATTAGGCAAAATTCAGAGCAGAAATGGAAAAGTCAGAAGCATCCACAAAGCAATTAAACTGTAAAGTGCCTAACACTGGGGTCGCCTGGGTGGCTCAGTCAGTTAAGTGTACAACTCTGGCCCAGGTCTTGATCTCTCAGTTCATGAGTTCCAGCGCTGCATTGGGCTCTGTGCTGACAGCTCAGAGCCTGAAGCCTGCTTCAGATTCTGTGCCTCCCTGTCTTTCTCTCAAAAATAGACACTCTGTCTCTCTCTCAAAAATAAACATTAAAAAAACAATTAAGTGCCGATTACTCAACCGCTATTACAAATCCAAGATTTGTTGCAGTATTGATTCTCTGTGAAGAGTGGCCTCTGTTTTTTTTTTTTTTTTCTTAATGAGGGGGATGAGCTCTATTTTCATGCTTTAATCTTAAAAGAATAAATTTATAAGCTGTATTTTTAATGGAAGTATTTTCTATAAAATTAAAAAGATTCAAATACTTTATACAGTAATCAACCCTACCCAAGTTTCCTGCATTACTACAATATACCAGTCAAAAGGATATTATGCTTTGAAATTCAAATACAAATTTTTAAAATTTTAATAAAATGTATGAACATTTAATAACATTATAATGAAAATTATGATAGAGTATTAAAAATTGTATTAAGTATTTATAGCTTAAATAGCTGCTTGAAATTATCCCTATTAAATTGCATTCATTAAAAATTAATTATTAATTCGTATGTATTTTTATATTGGTGTTTGAGTTGGGATTCATGTTTTCAATGCCTCTGTACCTTATTACCTTCTAGTTTTTTCAGTAACCCTTTAAATAAGGCATCTTCTCCTTCAAAATAAGACCTGATTCTGCCGTTTTGAATTTGTGCTTTTTCTTACCCATATATATTTAGTATTACTGTGTAATATCATTAGTGCTGCCAGAATTATCATGAAATAACAAAAATATGACATTATTTCCCACGCTTATAAATGTCACATAAACAATCAAACTGTCCATATATTTTATTGAAACACCTTGTTTCTTTCTATACCACTGCTTCCTAATAACAAGAGATGTGACCATCTGAGGATTATCAGAGCAATATAGCACAAAGTGTGGCTATAAATTTAAAGGTGGTTTGGGAGTGATTCTTAAAAATGTAATAAATCTTATGGATGAAAGGATATTTACTATTATTTCCTGAATTTTTCTCCTTTATTATCACAGATTTCTCACCATTCCTCAGCTATTAATAGAATGCAAATGAGAGAGAATGCATGATGATCCAGTATTAATTAAAATATTGCCTTGTTAGTGAGATTTTCTTTGGCACGTGAGATCTTCCCTGACTATTCTATGTAATAATTTAACCACTTTCAAACTTGTTAATTATTTCCCCTGCTTTATTTTTCTCAACTCTTATCAAATAACATATCCTATATTTCGCTTCATATCCATGTTCACTGTTTCTGTTTCTTCTCACTAGAAAGTAAGTTCCATGAAGGCAAAAATATCTTCCTTTTTTAAATGTTTCTCTATAGTACTTGGCATATTATAACCACTAATACTTTTTCAGTAAATAAATGGAAAAGATGATACAGCTGGAAAACTTAAAAACAGACATTGCAGTTAAGAAAATGACAACTTTTAGTATTTACCTATTATAAAATTCTCTTATTTCTGGTTACAGTTGTGTGACTTTTGGTAAGTGTATATCATTTAACCACCTCTACAAAAAAGATGACGAGGGGGGCCTGGGTGGCTCAGTCGGTTAAGCGTCTGACTTCAGACTTCAGCTCATGTCACGATCTCACAGACCGTAAGTTCGAGCCCCACGTCGGGCTCTGGGCTGATGGCTCAGAGTCTGGAGCCTGCTTCCGGTTCTGTGTCTCCCTCTCTGTTTGCCCCTCCCCTGCTCATGCTCTGTCTCTCTCTGTCTCAAAAATAAACGTAAAAAAAAAAAAAAAAAAAGATGAAGAACAGTTTTATCAACCGAAGCATTGCCTGGTGTTGCTTGTTTGTAGTACACCATTCCCTTTACTCTTAAATCCTAGAGACCATAGTATTTCTCCATTCTTATGTTCCAGAATAACATAAAAATGGAATCATATGGTTTATAGTCTTATTAGTGTGGTGTATTTCACTTACAGTTCATTTGTGATATATCCATGGTGTTTTATTGTTGAGTAGTGTTTCATCATATCGATGTGCCAGGTTTTTTGTTTTTTTTTTTAATCAAACAAAAATGGGATGGTATCTAGTTTTTTGCAGTTAAAAAGAAAACTGCTTTATACATTACAGACATATTATCATTTTTCTTAGGTAGGTATCTGCAAACTATATAAATATTCGTATATTTTTAACTTTGTAAAAAACTACCAAGCTCCTTTATATAGAGGCTCTATTATTTTGCATTCTCACTGGTAATGTATGAGACTTCTAGCTGCTCTGCGTCCTCACCACTATTTTTATTTTCAGTTTTAATACTGTTGTTGCTTTTTTTTTTTTATGTGTTTGAGGAAGTTCAATTTATCAACATTTTTAGATGGATCATACTTTTGGTATCATATCTAAAAATATTTTGCCTAAAACATGGCCACAATATTTTTTCCTGTTTCCTACGTTTTACATTTACATCTATGGTCTAATTTGAGTTAATTTCTGTTAAAATGTGAAATATGGGTCAAGGATCAATTGTGCATGAATGATCAATTTTTCCAGCACCATTTGTTGAAAAGACTATCCTTTCACTTAAAATTATGATTTCACCTTTGTCAAAAATCAGTTGATCATATATGTTGGTTCTGTTTCAGAACTCACCATTTTGTTCTATTTATATGTGCATACTTTGGACAATACCACACTGCCTTGATTACTCTGTATTAAGTCAGTATCAAGTGTGAATTCAACTGTTTTATCCTTTTCCATATACACTTTAGAGTAATCTCTTTAATATCTTCAAAATATACTTGGATTTTGATTTAGATTACATTGACTTAGGTCAATTTGAGGTTTATTGATACAACAGTAAGTCTTCCAATCACAAACTTAGTATGTCTTTCTACTTGTTAGGTCTTTTTTTATTTCTTTCATCAGTGTTCTATAGTTGTTAGCAGACAGACCAAGACCATATTGTGTTAGATTTATAGCTAAATCTTTTATTTTTGTGTGGTCTTGTAAATGATATTTAGACCTTTTTGTTTTCAAGTCTTTAATTCTATTTGTAAAAACAACTGATTTTTGTACTATTGAGCTTGTATATTGCCATCTTGCTAAATTCACCTATTAGTTCTAGGAGCTTTTTGTGAAGAGTCCATGAGATTTATGTGTTGTCTATAAATAGGGATGGTTTTATTTCATTTTTTCCAACCCCTATTTTATAATTTTTTTTCTTTCCTTGCTGTACTGTTTAGAACGTTCTGCATGTACTGAGTAGGAATGAAGAGGCTACTTCATTAATTTTTCAATCTTATTCTCTTCATATTTGAAAATTTCTACTGATCTTCGGATTCACTGATGTTTTTGCTCTGGCGCCTCTATTCTGATATTGAGGCCATCTAACTTTTTTTTTTTTTAATTCAGCTATATATATATTTCTAAAATTTCTGTTCATATTTCTTATGATTTATGTTTTTTCTGCTATGAACTTCTACTTTCCATTCAAGAGTGTTTAATCTTAACAGGTTGATACTACAGTCTTTGTTCTGGCAATACTGGGTTGACAACTGATGGTGTTTGCACTTGACGATTAGTCAAATTTTTATCCCACAACCCTTTGGTGGTATAGTGTTACTTCCTATTGTACTTTGGACATTTGTCAAATCCTCTGGAGAATGTTGTTTGTTGCATCATTGTTCTTTTAAAAGGCAAATGACATGGCAAGTTCAGAAGGCAAATTTTATTTCATGTTTAGTGGCAGTAGTTCCAATGTCAGTGTGCCTTCAAAATTAGCAATTGTGCTACTCAGGACTTCATCTGGGACTAAAATATTTGGTGGAAATTTTATATCACAGTTCAATTCTGAAACACTACACTCTGTTATTGGGTGTTGATCTTGGTGATGAGTCAAGGTCCATGTATTTGTTCATGCATAGGGCTAGGGAATCTGCTCTTCTAGCCTACTCTTCTTCAGTATTTTATTCACAATTTCTAGTACCCAGGGCCTCATTCCCTAGCTCTTCTGGATGGAAAAATAATTTCTCTCAGAATTTTACCCCCTGTCCTGTCACACAATTATATATGACTGGGTCCATCCTTGAGAGAAGATGTCAAACAATGAGAATAAAATAATGGTGATTCTTTACACGTACTTCATATCACAGGGGTTTCTCTGGCTAAAGACAAGTGTTTTGTCTCTTTATGTGTTTTAGGAGCCCTTGTCATAGCACCATGGCAGTTCAGCTCTGTGAGTGGGGCTGGCCTGAGAGTAGGGATCAGAGAAAAAAAACGTATATTTTTCTCTCATCTTTGGGATTTTAAATCCCCTGGTCTCCTGGAACGACAGAAGGGCTCTCCCTACAAGATTTCCTTCTCTTCCTGCTCTGCAGTTCTTCAGTTCAGACCACACTCAGGTGAAACAAAGCCAGGTAAGAAAGGAAGGCAGGCATCAGAAAACTGACCACTCTCCCAGTCAGTCGGCAAGTGCTGACTTTTCATCCAATCTGTTTGCCACTGTTCAGTTTTGAGAGTTCTGGTGTAGCTACCTTGTGTACTGTGTCCAGATTTTTAGTTGTAAAAGCGGTGGCAGGGGGATAGGATGGAGTGGGTTTGCTCTATCTTAGCCAGCACCAGAAGTCAGAAAACACACATGTAACTCTACTGCTATCCAGGATTTTTTTATTTTTTTTAACGTTTATTCAATTTTTGAGACAGAGAGAGACAGAGCATGAATGGGGGAAGGTCAGAGAGAGAGAGGGAGAAACAGAATCTGAAACAGGCTCCAGGCTCTGAGCTGTCAGCACAGAGCCTGACGCGGGGCTTGAACTCACGGACCGCGAGATCATGACCTGAGCCGAAGTCAGGCACACCTCCAGGATTTTACTTAAGAAGCCAAGTGGAATCCAATCACATACATTTCACTTGTTAAGGATACAAACCCTGAATATATTTTTAAATGTAAAAAAGTATTATGGTTTATTAGCTATGTGCTAGAATCTATTGTTATATGTAAAAGAAATGTAAATATTGGGAAAAATAATGGTGTTCTAAAACAAGATGAGAATATGTGAAGTTGTGAAGAAAGGTCTGAGACCTCCTAATGTCACTTAGCTGGAAAGAGAGTATTCAAACCTCAGTCTTTTTACAAACTTGGGCTCATAAACACTCTGCAATGTAGCTTAAGAAAGACTATTTTCTGATTTATAAGAATTTGTGATTCTTGGGGATACTTAATTCAGTCGGTTAAGCTTCCAATTTAGGCTTAGGTCATGATCTTGTGGTTCACGAGTTCTAGCCAAATGTTGGACTCTGTGCTGACAACTCAGAGCCTGCTTTGGATTCTGTGTCTCCCTCTTTCTCTCAAAAATAAACATTAAGGGATCACAAATTCCTTTTTAAGAGAAGATCTGAGAAAGGAAATATCAGAATATCCAGGCATTCATTCGGGTATTCATTTGCAAGAAGTTTTTGAATAATACCTTTAAGATACATGTTAATAGCATGTGTATTATAAGGCATGAATCCTGTCCTTATAAAGCTCATATTGTAATAGAAAAAGTTAGTTTGTCCATCAGTACACAATTACAAAACAATGTGATTAGTACACATTGTGGATTGGCCAAGGTTATCCTTTGGGAAGGGAAAAAGAAAATTTTCTTAAATGTTAAGGCTTAAAGAATGATAAATGAAGTGATACAGAGGGAAGGTCATGCCATCTAGAAGGACTAACAATGTAATGGCATGACAAGAAAAAGGACCAAAATTAATGCTACTCATGACCAGCCTTGTATTAGCTAAATTCTCACCACAAGTCCATCAAGTCATTATTTTAGGACAAATTTTGGTGAAGCAAGTGGCATCTTGTTACTTATCTCCAGGAGTAGAAAGCTGAACGCTTCTGCCCACTGCCTGTTGGTATTGGAGTGTGTACGGAAAACACACTGTGGTCCAGTAATGGATGTAACAGTGTTGTACTGAGAGAAGACACAACAAGAGCAGCTTCCATAGGCAACATTAGTTAGTTCCCTGTGGCCAGCAGGTCTCTTTTGGCAGCCAACACAGGCATTTGACCTACAAGAATTGTTTTTGTATAGCACTAGGATCCCATCCTCTTTTCAAAGGGGACAGGTGTGGCAGGATGGTTGGCTAGGTGCCATATACTTAAACAGAACAAAGTAGTAGACACTGAATCTTAAACATGCTAAGATATTCCCACACAGGGTGATGAGCCCAGCACAGGATATGAGGGCTCGTTATCTCTTGGCAAGGTAGTGTGCTAGGCCCTTTGTAATGTGGCCAAGAGGGATGGAAACACTGCTCATGAGAGGTGTGCCTTTCATAGTCTTTTAATGCTAAAAATGGCTTCATCATTATTTATCTGAGCTCCTTTTTATTAAAAATTGGTTTATAATTTAAGCTTTATACACTTATTTGACCATGATGGGAGTCTCAGACATAGAAGCCCGGTGTTCTGACACCCAGCTCAGAGCTTTGTCTCCTGCATTGTATTTTATGTATTTTTTTGGTCATTTGTAACTTCGAAATGGGAAGTCAAAGAAAATCCTAAGGATTATTATATTAATTAACATTTATTTAGAATCTGAATATGGTCCGATTCAGTTTTCTTTTGGAAGTGTCTGAGGACTTACCAGTGCTGTTGCCTTGAATATAAAATCAACTGCTTATCCTACAATCCTATAACTATGAACTCCTAGGCAATGAAAAACTCTGAGTAAAGGATTTAACTAGCTATTTCCAATGGAATGAATAGATTGCTCATCAGAATAAATACATGTGGGTTTTAATATAAAGGCTTTATTTTTATTATCCTCTGTAGTTTTGAAAATTCTAACTTAGCTTTCCTCTTTTTCTTGTTGTACAGCTGCTATATACTTACCCCCTTAAAAATCCCTGGCCATTTCCCTGAAGGGGATAGAGTCAGTGGACTGAATAGGATTAGCATCAAAAGTCACCACTGCTTTCCCAAGCAGAGTTTAAAAATAGGATCATTGAATAATAAGGGATTTAAGTCTCAACCAAGCAGGGTGCGGAAGGAAATTATTTGGATTTAGACCAATAGAGATTAGAGTGTGATTACAGACTACCATGTCCTTTATATCAGATTAAGGGACTTGAAAGAGAAGACTTGCAGGAAAAAAAGTCAGGTCACAAAATTTTCCACCTGCTTCCCTAAATCAATCACAGAAGGATCTCTCTACACATTTCTGAGTCTGAGGGTACTGACTGAAGCAAACACAAAGCAGTGAAGGTGTGGCAGGGTCACACTGTAAGGCTTAATGAAAATTACCTTGGAGAATAGTCAATATAGGAATCAAGGAACCAAGACAGGTAACCAATAATAATCTTTTATCTTAAAAAAAAAATCCAAACCCAAATTCCAGGGAAGAAAATGCATCATATTCAGCCCAAATCCATTCCTAGAATGAAGCATTTGTAGTTAACATAGAATTCGCAGCGGTATCAAATAAGAAAGATTTTTCTTCAATATGAGATTAGTTGACGTGGCTTAATCAAAGCTTGGATTAAAAAAAAAAGAATTCCTTTATAAGTTTGCTAAGATATTGTGAGGGAAGAAAAACGCCTATATAAAAATTTTTGGCAGGTGTCCCAATCAAACTGAAATAGGTGTCTGTTTATCCTAGCAATTGTTTATTAAAAAGGCAATTAGTGATAAGGGGAAATCAGGTAGCATGCACCACTTAAGTATCAGTAAGTGTGGAGAAAAAAGTCATTTTGTAAATTGCAGAGCATTTTACTTACCTAAACTTCAAACATTTTGTATAATCTACATTGTTTCTTTTATGAAGATATTAAGAGTTCTTTGGGATGCTTGGGTGGCTCAGTGGCTTAAGCGTCTGACTTCAGCTCAGGTCAGAACTCACTGCTTGTGCGTTGGGTTCTGTGCTGACAGCTCAGAGGCTGGAGCCTGCTTCAGATTCTGTGTCTCCCTCTCTGTCTCTGCCCCTCCTCTGTTCATGCTCTTTCTCTGTCTCTTGCAAGTAAACAAACATTTAAAAAAAATTTTTTTTTTAAATGAAGATAGAGTTCTTTGAAAGAGAACTTGTTAAAAGTCTATTTGATCTAGGACATGATGAATTCTTGATGTATATTTTGAAAAAAAGTACAAGTTAAACTGACATTTGAACATACTTTCTTCTGTCTGAAATCCCACTTATTCTGAAATCTGTAGAAAATTTCAGAGCAGCAGCAGGAAGATAAGCCTTCTACCTATGATTAAAAATCCTGATGTGTCTGTCAGCTTTTTGTTATATGCCTTATAGTGACTTTTTATTACATACCTCTAGATTTAATTTTTAGATAATTAAGATAGAGAATATGATTGAAAGTGATATCACATCAACTTTTGGAAAAAGGCAGGAACAAGTGACACTTTTTCTCTCATAAGATAATTGTTCAGTGTTTATCAATAATTTCAGTTTCTACTACAGGGCTCTAAAAGCATTAGTGTAATTGGTAAGAATTTACTAAACTATAGTAATTTATATTACTCTGAAATTGAGCTGAAGAAATCTGTCTTGGAAGTTCCATTAGTTTAATCATATTTATTAGAGTGAATAAATTAACTTTAAAAATTGGATCGATCATTTACCTAGATTAACTATTTTAGTAACTCCACATGGGTAAGTGGGTATGGTGTGTGTATAATATGTATACATGTATATTGTTTAGAGATAATATACTAACAGTCAGGTACGGAGACTGTGAAACTATTGAAGTATGATAGACATACAAAAAAGCTGTACCTGTTTAACAAAACGACACGATGAGTTTAGAGAGGATATAAGTCCCTGAAAGTAACTCTATTAATTAACCTGTGCCATAAACCTATCCATTGCCTCAAAAGGTTCCTCTCACCTTCTTTACCATCAAGATCAGTATTCTTTCATTGTTTAGGAGTTTCAGTATAATATCAATATTGTATTAATTCAGTAATTAGTTCTAAATATGAATCACTACTTCAGACTATCCGTCTTTCATACAGCACTAACTCTATGAAGAAAATTCCATTGTTATTTTTTTCACTGTCCTGAAATTAAATTTTTAACAATGTCAAATGGGGAAAAAAAAGACACTACTTTGAAAATATTTGTCACTAATCTGTTTCATTGGGCAACCGGTTACTATAATAGAAAAAAATATTTATGAATTATGTTAGAACTGTCCCTAAGACATAGTAAGGCCCAAATAAATTGTTAGTAAATGTTACTATTTCCATTCATCTTTTTTTTTTTCCTTTTTAAAATTGGGGATATTAGTACTTAGTTATGGGATGGATGTCTTTTGGAACAAATGAGTTGATGCATGCATTATAATTCTCGTATTGAGCTATATTAAGCAGTAAATAAAATATAGTTTGATAAAGACTGCTGGTTAATGTTTTCACAGTGGATAGGAGGAGGCATCATTTTGCATGAATCATTTTTAAAAAGACTTTTATGAATGTGTTGGATTTAGACATGATACTATAGAATGAAATTAATGCCTACAAAGCCTGGGGTTGAGTGTTTGGACACAGAACTTGTTAACAAGTATTTGAGAAAGATAAAAATATTAAATTAGCTATTAAATATACGGAAAAATGTTTTGCAAGTCAGTTAAGCAGGTTGATTTTGTCCATATTTTCCTAAATTTTACTTTGTGGGACATACTTTCCCTTTGTAAAATTTCACATTGTCATTAGATAAAATTTTCAAATGTTTTGAGGATTAAATTGATTGTGGGAAAAAATCAACATTATGACTTTAAGACCTTAAACAGCATAGATGTGTACCTGTAAAGAGCCTGATATAGGAGGCAAAGTATTTTATTTGTGTTTCTTTACCAATTAGATTTTATGTTGACAGCCAGAAAAATTATTTGAAAATATATAGATTTAATAGGTTGTTTGGAATCAAATCTCCTGGTATATATTTTACACTGTTTTAGGTTCCTACCTCTTGTTAGGAAAGGAACCATCGTCAGATGTGGAATCAGATAACACTTTATTAAAAACTGTTGCCTACCTGGGATATTTTGCTATTCTCCTCAATTGTGGGGCTGGTTATTTTGATTAATGTTGAGAGGCTGTGGAAATGACTTCCCTAGAAATCTTGACTGGGCTAGAAACCCATCTGTCTTACATGGCTTACTTGTAGTCCTGCCTGGAGGCAAAGGATAGATAACCTGAAATAGAATGAAACACCCAAAGGAAAGGATTAAGTCACTAGATTAGTGGTGACCATATGCTCTCTAGAAGGTTTGTGAAATTGCTCATTTCCATGGGAAAAGATATGTTTTCTCAGTGGTCTTGAATTTTAGTAAGAGAACAATGCCACCAGTTTCCTTTACAATGCCCATTAAATCCACTAGAGCAAGTAATCTTTCAAGGATAATATTTTTGTGTCAGATATATGAACATGCTAAATTATTGTGAAAAATATTTTACCTTGATCTTCATAACCTTTTATCTCTTCTCTCCATTTTTCTCCTTGCAGGCCTTCTTTCTTTCCTTCATTCCCAACAAAATATTTTAGAATGCTTCCCTAATGTTTTTTTCTTTTCCAGTTGCTAGGTTTTATTGGATTGCTTAGCAGTAATAGAACATCATAAAAAGAAATAAAACTCCTTTTCAATTCAAGGCACACCATCTTGTTTACCTCAATTCTTACTCTTTTCCTGTTAGTAACAAAAAGGTTTTAAGCATAAACCAAAACTGATTGAGTTACTATTCTAAAAGTAATTCCACGCTACTAGAAAATACTGCACTATGTAGTTAGAAAATGGTTTTTAAAGTCATCTTTGTATTTAATCTCTCCTTTACTGTAACCTAAATATAGAGCTTTCTTTACTCTTGTTGAAAATGTATTTATTTTTTTATGAGGCCATGAACTCAAAGAATATCAATTCTTCTTAAACTGGAAAAGGTCTACCCAAAGAGCTTTATGTTTTGTTTTGTTTTGTTTTTTCCTCTCTGTATTAGCACTTAAATTAAGTTATTCTATTAAGGTGTAATATGAATTAGTATTCTTGAATCATCAAGGAAATTTTGTGTTTGTGAATTTGTCATTTATGAGAATTCAGTGCTATCTAATTACTCTTGCCTTCACATCACTGTTTACTCTTTGATTTTCCTTAGACTATTCCTTCAGCCTGGAATGTTCAACTCTATCCTATCCATGTTTCATTGCTGCATTCCAAATGACACCTCCCTTATATATGGTGCTTTTTGTGAGATTTTCCCATGAGTTCTCTGCAAAATTGAGAAGAAAGGACTATAACATATTCAACAAAGCACTTTGTCAGGGAGTTTTAGTGTGGAATAGATTAGTGCATGTAATAAGTGGTATCTCTTTTATAGCCTGAAACTCTTTGAGGGCAGGGACAGTTTCATATTTATGTACATGAGACTGAGAACAGAACTTTTAGTACCATGTGCATAGGTGTTTAATGATTATTTATTGGGTGAATGGATGAAATACTTTATTCTAGATCTGGAATATGGCAGTTTTGCTTCCTGTTACAAAGCCTCTGTTATAGTAAACTGAGTCTAAGGACTGCATTTTCTTCTTCCTTATACCTAAAATGAGGTAATGGTTAAAAGGAAATTTATATTTAACCAAGATCATTAAAAAATGACCAAGTCATACCTGTTGAAACAAAAAAATGCCACTTCAACTAGTGAAAACCATGGCTTAAATATGTAATGTTATTAGGCACGAAAATTTCTAATTTCTTTTATTGATATAAGAAAAAAATTGATGAATTATGAAATCATAACAACTAGCACTATTGTAGTACTTATATTGTGCCAGGAACTTTGCATATCCAACCCATTTACCCTCCCAAAAGTTGTGTGAAAAACTTAATGGCAAAGAGATCCTATTTTCTGCTTAATGTCATACACCTAGCAGGTATCAGAGCAGGGGCTTGGCCTCAGTTATTGTGTCTCTAATTGGTAGTAAGGGTACTTAATAAAAGTTTCAGTAAAATGTACATAAGACATGAAAAAATTGAGCTTCTGTTAAATACCACCACTGTAGGATGTCCTCCATATAGAACTAAGTCTTCTCTATTTTTGAAGAATTCAAAGTTTTCTTTTGTTGAAATTGAGATTATAAAATACATATTCAGGTTAAGATGTCTAAACGTTTTACCCAATGTTTACTAATTTTACTAGTATTTTCTTTTAGCTTTGATGTTATTTTTTTTCTCTAGAGAGAGGGAGAACGCAGGGTAGAGGAGGAGAGGGAAAGAGAATCTCAAGCAGGTTCCCCATGTGGGGCTTGACCCATGACCCTAGAATCGCAAGCTGGGCTGAAATGAAGAGTCAGAAGCTCAACCGACTGCACCACCCAGGCGCCTCATAATTTTATTAGTATTTTTTAACATAACCTTTCTTCTTATTTCACCCTCCATCTTAACCTTATTCTTACTTCTCTTCTATGAGTGTCTTTTGTGATTGATACTATTTTCTGAAGGCTTATCACTGAAATGTTTTATTGTTAAAGAGGCATTCCCATGGTTTTATGGAGTGCCAAGTATATGTTACAATTATCATTTCATGTAAACAGAGTTTTTCATATAAACATTAGTGGTACATTTTCAGACCATAAAATGCAGACACCTTGGGGACAGTGAATGACACTGAAATTAACTAAGTTTGACAAATTCCAGAGACTGGAAGACTGAGACCTGAAGAGGCTATGTGACTTGACCAAGGTCACTCAACAGTATGTGACATGATGATTAAGTCAAATCACTGGAGACAGTTTAATAGACTTGTACAATATTATTAAGCTGGGATAACTTTTCTTTGAATACTTTATACCTTTTCTAGATTGCCAGTTTCTCTGACTTATGTGATAAATTTGTTTTTTTCTTTTTCATAGGAATATAAGCACATTAATTTATTATGGATATCATATAAGAATATCATTTGTGCTTATGAATTTATTATTTTCCTCAAAAAGTTTAAATTGCCATTTGATTTTATGTAATGAGGTAGATAGATATATGAATACACGAATATATGCAGTTAATTCTTGATGTGGACATTAAGGAAATAAATATGTGCATGTATATAAATCAACAAATATAGCAGAAAATACTAAGATTACTTACATTGTCTACTTATACTCAAGTCTGCTATTCTGTAAGTTCAATTTGAAATTATCAAAAGCTCAGAGTAAAAAAACTGAAAACAATGCTGCTTTTTCATTCAAATTTGCCAGAAAACTGCTCCACTGACTGACCATGGGCCCTAACACTCAACATCAGTTAAGGACAGATACTTAATACTTGAGAAAAAAATTTCAAGCTAAAGCATGTCAAATCCTATGGTAAAGGTGGAGAACAAAGTAATGTGATGTATAACTAGGGAAAATAGATGAATTAGAAAGACATTACTCTCATTAAAATTGGAAGTGTCTGCTATTTGAGCAAGAAATTAATTTTATTATATGAACCATTAGAAGGAATAACTAAAGTGAAGATTTAGAAGGTAGTGCTTTTAGCTTAAAGTTAGAAAAATTCTCTCATGAACTGCCCTATACTAGATATTTTTATATAACACTTCTGTACTGGGAGCAAATAAGCAGAGTCTTTGCATTCATTCTAGGATTCCAGATCACATCAACAATAGTGATTTCTCTCTCATCCTGTACATATACCAAACTATACCTTCCATGTTCTTACTTATGCTACCATACTGCTTTTCATGGCTTAGACCTGCTGATTACTGGTTCCATTTCATTTCTAGACATGACTGTTCCTTTTCTTCCTGAGGTGATTTTCTTTGTATCTACTGGCCAGCAATGTCTATCAAAGGACTACTCTTAGTGCAACATCTTGAGGTTATTGTAGTTGTTTAACCGCCCATGGAAAGCTCCTTACACAGGTAAGTATATGCCTATATAAATAATTCAGTTAAAATACAACTGTTCCTAATATCTCTAGATTTTAAAGAAGAATGCTATTTTCTACTTACTGGTAAGCATGACCCAAATTAACTTTGTTAAATCACCACAGTTGTTCCTTTAACATTTGAATTTTCAGAGCGGTGACAAGTTCATTTCCACATTGCTTTTTCACATGAATTGAATGGATATGAGTTTACATAAACAAGAATATACAGTACAAGAGAGACAATAGGAAAATGACTGGATGTGTTTTTAGTAAGCAAAATGTAGATATTAATGATTACAGCACCCTACTGTCTTATTAAAGAAGTCATTGATTTGTATTTACTGCTTTAGTTATTGACAACCATCAATCTTCTGCTGCTACATAATCTAGGTTACTATAACAAATATCTCCTATCACCCAATCTCCCACAAGGTGAATATAATTGCATTTCATGCTAATTGAAAAGTTTGCAAAGATCTTTGTTCTCAAGAAGTTTATAATCCATAAGAGACCTAAACCTTTCCTATTAAGGATAGACAGTCTTTCATTCTGAATATTACTTTGACCAAAGAACATTCTTAAGTTATAAAAAATTACTTACTTCATGTCTTCTCTCATCTTTTATTTTTTCTCAACCAAATCCTTCTCTGGCCTTTGCAAACCCTTCCCCCAAACCAATCATGGTACACAATGCCCTACTCCATTATTTTGTGTGTGTGTTTTCTTTTTAAATTTCACTTACCATACAGTGCAATATTGGTTTCAGGAATAGAATTCAGTGATTCATCACTTACCTGTAACACCCAGTGCTCATCATAAGTTCCCTCCTTAATACCCATCACCTATCTAGCCCATACCCTCCCTCGGTCAATCATCAGTGTGTTCTTTATCATTAAGAGCCCAGTGTGGTTTGTTTCTCTCTCTCCTCTTCCCATATGTTCATCTGTTTGGTTTCTCAAATTCCACCTATAAGTGAAATCATATGATATTTCTCTTTCTCTAATTGACTTATTTTGCTTAGCATAATAAATTCTAGCTCTATCCATCTCATTGCAAATAGAAAGATTTCATTCTTTTTGATAGCTGCCCTCTCATGCTCATCATTTTTCCTCTTTCTACTCTAATTAGTAATAATGTAAATCTATACCTAAGGTCTCTTCACTTTCTTCTTTCACCAATTATTTACTTTTTAATGACTAGTACCTTCAACTCTGAGCCACAGCAATCTTTCCTCCCCACCCCTCCTTGACTCCTTCCTGTTTCTCTTAAGATTTCCTGGTACTCATTTTCCAATATCCATTTATGTAGTGTGAAAGACTCTAAGCAGTGCAATCTCTCTAAATCCTGGTAATCTGAATATGGAAAACTACCATAGTAAGGAAGTATAAACTACAATATAGTAGGTTTAAAGTATGAGGCAATGAATGGAGGTTTCATTCAGATCTGATCAAATAGCTATAGATCTTCCTAAAGCTATTATTAGGGCTTGTGACTTTTCAGGAATGGAGATAGAAAAGTAAAATAAATTCTTCAGGCAAAATGCTCATGCTGGAAATGCAGCTATAGAATAAAAACTCAATTCCTCACTAAACACCCTAAGTTAATGTTCTGCCCCATGCTTTTTTGCTTCTCTGTGGAGAGTGGTTTCCTTATTTCTGGTGCGGATTTTTTCATCATTCTGCTTATATCATCAATTACATATTAACATCAGTTAATATTCCAGCCACAATTGTATAAAAGCTGTATTGTTTCTCTCATCTAGCATGACAGTATTGAAATATGACTGTATACACACCCATATATATGTGTTATACATATATTAAAATTGAAGGTTTATGCCCTAAAACCTCCTTAGAGGGAAAGAGGAAAGTTGTTTTCATAAAGCCAGGTCAATAACCACTATATAACAAAAGTTATTTTTAATAACTTCAAGTTTAGTTCCTTCATAGGCTGAAAGGTCTTACATACATTGTGTTAATTCTTATTCACATCTTTGAATGTTTCAAATCTGTCTCAGCTAGTCTAGTACCCTTTTTTAAAAATAAATCTGTATTTTGTAATAAAATAATTTTGCCTGCATCTTCAAGGTCATTTCTGAAATTAACTGCTCACAGAAAGAAACGGCTTTGGCTGCATGAGATGATTTTATTACAATCTATAGTCTTTACATATAGAGAATGTAATTACCTCAGACCAGCTTACTCAATGGTGAATTTGAATAATGAATGCTAGCAAAAAATAGAACACAGTTTTCTAGGGTCAACCTGAAAACATAAAAGGAAAACATATACTAGACACTGAAATTCTCTTTGCCTACACAAGAAATACATAATTGAATTTATTTCCCTCCCTGGTGCTTTTCATCTGATGAGAAGACCTGATTTATATATATTATCTGATGTTTTCCATAATATTAGTTTAATATAACAGCTATAGCAATCAAATCTCATATGCAATAAGTGATAAAGATGAGACAGATGATACAATTTGTTGAGCTTCCATGGTGTCATTTAGAAATGGAAATCATGAGTTTTGACTTCATTTTTATGAACTGTATTGATTGATTGAGTCTCTATCTGTGATTATCTATTAATGACTCTCTTTTGATATAAACATGTAGTAGAAGTGCATTACAAAAATAAATTTATGTTTGGAACAATATCATTAGATTAAGTACAGAAGCAACAAAATAATTAGTGGTGTTGAAAATAATTGTGCCATTTAAACATACTGATCATTGTTTAAACAAATCAAATACACTATTACATGCTTTATAATGTGCTTATCTTACAGTTTGATTTTTAGGGATTTTTTTTCTTCAACTTCTCCATGATATGATACAATTAGTTTAGGTATTTGATTTAATGTCTTGCAAATATCAGTACTTTTAAGCATCATAGATGGACTGTGTTGCACTGAGATCCTTCCTCTTCATTAAACATTTTTGCCTTATGAAAAGTATGTGTTCTATAGGGATTGCTCATCATTTAATTATAGTAAAGTTCCCATATTTGATTTTGCAAGTTTCATAAGAGAAATGAAACACAAATAATTTAGAAAATATTGCACTCAATATTTGTAGTCATAGCAACTTTATATTTTCTAATCTCTGAAAAAAATTTAGTAAAACTACAAATATGATAGTGTACTATTTCTCACATGAGAAAAATATGTATAATGCAAAGAAACTTACCAATGAGAAGCATTTCTAATCCATATTGCAGAGTAGCATGCTCCTGATACTTTCAATTTTTAACCCCTTGCGTGGGCATTCTTGAAGGAGGCAGACAGGGTTGGAGCAAAATATTGGGCTGGAGTTTAAGAGACCTATGAAATTCCAAAATATTTTCCCCTTGAATCTTTTTTTTTTTTTTGAATCTTTAATTTAGATAAGAATCTGCAATATACCCAAAGTATTTTCTGCCTAAAAGGTATCATTCTTTGGCATAATTAGAAGCAGAAATAAATAGAAATGTCATCTAGGTGAATATATCCCTTAATAGTTTTGTTAGTAACTTCCTTCAAACAAGAAAACTGAAAATAGAATTGTCTGTTGTATTTTATGGCATCTTTGCTAACAAAGTTACGTTTCCAGGAAAATTGAGGTAGAAATTTACTAGGCAAGAAGTTACTGCCACAGGGCTGTTTGTTTATAATGAAGAATACAAGGAATATCAAAAAATTTGCCATCACAAGAAGCAAATACATATTTTGACACAGATAATTTTATACCTATGTTCAGAACCCTCCAAAGGCTCTCATCTCAATCGGAGTAAAAGTTAAAGGCCTCCCATGCCATGTACACTTTACACCCTACCATCCTGTAGCAACAGACTGTTTGTTCTCTCTCCCTAGCCACATTTACCGCTTAGTCACTACGTGAGTTCAGTTTTGTATCCTACTTAAAATGGTTGCAAAACATTGTACCCTAGAACTTATTGGAGTAAAACAAGTATTTATTATGGTCACAGATTTTGAGGATCATGGATTTGGAGAGAGCACTGCAGAGATGACTTTTCTCCAAAATGTATGAGTCTTCAGCTAGAAGATACTAAGGCTGACGTCTGGAATCATGTTCAGTTGGGCACCTTGTTTCTCTCCATATAATCTTCCTCTCTAATAGAGAGAAAGACAACCCTGGAGAAACCACATTCTTATTGTGGATTATCTTGCAAAGACATATAGCATCACTGCCTCCTTCTTAAAGCAATTATGATATCTGGACTAAGTACAAGGGTAGGACTTGAAACTGTGTTTTTCAACACATTTTTTTTTTTTATGAATAACCTAGGTAACATTGTAAGTCAAATAATTGGCATAGTTAGTATTACAAGAGAAACAGTGTGGTTATCTTCTCTTGGGTTCCATGACCACACATATTTAAGGTATCTTTGCTGTCCTTTGAAATACTGGTGAACCACTTCTCTTATGTGTGCATTTTTCTTAGAAAATTGTATTTATGGTTTTAAATATTACTTCTAGGCCAGTGATTTCCAAGTATATATATCCAGTCTTTAGCTTTTTATTGAGTTCTGGATACATATAACCAAATACCTGCTTTTTATTTTACTTGGCTATCTAATTAGCACCTCAGAATTAATGTGTCTAAAACTAATTTTTTTCTTTCTTCTTCAAACTCTTATATCAGTAAATATTGTTACCATCTACAGTGTAGCTCACATCCCTACAGCAAACCTATCAATTCTATCTCCATGACATATTCTGAACCTATCATTTTCTCCACCTCTCCTACTATAATTTTTGTCTAAATCATTAAAATCTCTATCCTAGATTATTGAAGTAGTTTCCTAGCATGTCTCTTCACATAGCAGGAACATCTTAAAGGCCACCAAAGATTTAGTCTCCCCTTCTAACATGCATCATTGCTGCTTTGGCTGCCCAGTCAGGTATCATGTTGTAAAGCTCTTTGCATTGGAAGCTTGGTGTAAGGAATGTGATAATTTCTTGCCAATAACTTATGTGTTAAAATGC